GTCATCAGCTGGACAAACTGAATGATGCACTTCAACAGAAAAGGTCAGAACTAATCAACAGGAAAGGTGTAGTGTTTCACCAAGACAACGCGAGACCTCACACCAGTTTGGTCACTCGCCAAAAGCTTTTACAGCTTGAATGGGATACAATGCTACACGACTATTACTAAAGCGAATTGATTTGGAACATTTCCGTTGCAAGACGAGAAGGTGGAGACAATTATAAAGGCATTTAAAGGAGATACAGCTGATAAACTGTACGTTCCTGCAATTGCCAAATTCAGCTTACTACGAAAACACCATGATATGGGGCATCCTGGATTCAAAAAGAGAACACGTATTGGTTTCCTAAGACGAGGTGGTTTGTGCAGCTGTATATGGGGGCATGTTTAAATTACGCGAATACAATATGTGTGCATGGATGAAGCGAAGAATTTCTGCATCCTTACAAAAAGGCGATTCCAATAGACAGGGTGCACATAGATCATCACTTTCTGAACAGTGTTAAGTGAAGTAGTTTTTTGCTAGTAATGGTGTATGCCAAGCCTACAAAAACTCTAAGCTCAATAGAAACTATAGAGACGTTAAGGTGCACAATTGGCGAGTTTGGGTACCCAAGGCGCGTAATAACTGATAGGGGATTGGCTTTTACTGGTATTGCATTTGCTGATTTTATGAATGAGACGGGTATTAAGCATGTTGAGAATGTTATTGCTACTCCTCAAGCGAATGATTAAGTAGAGAGACAAAATCGCACAATACTTTAGGCAAGTGCGGAAGGAGAGGCAAATTGGGATGACCAATTACCAAAAATTTTGTGGGAAATAAACCAAACTTTATTCCCATATCGGAGTGGGCGAGTAGCAGATTTAACATTGGAGTATTGGAGTATTTAGTATTGACGAAACGACAAACCTGCTGGAGGGCGCGCAAATCAGCGCATTTCGAGTTGACCATCTATTACCCTTTGTATATCCATTATCTATGGTTAACGACATTAACCATAGATAATAGACATTAACTGACATTAACTATCTATGACATTAACCAATTTGTTAATGGATGTATGGTTAATAGTGAAATGGTTATAATTTCAATAATAAATGGAGTTTTTATTCGAAGACAAACCTATTAAAAATGAAGAAAAGAAAACTGAAGAAAACATTAAATCTCCGTCAAAAAATGATAGCGGTCGCGAATGGGGTTACGATTTATATCCGGAACGAAGGGGCAAGGTGTCCCATAGTTTAATGGAAATTATTTTCCAAGGTAAAGGCACAGAAGATGTAGACAAAATAAAATGTGAAAGGAACGTATATAAATGCATTAAACAAAGCCCATTAGTAAAATTAATGTTAGCAGCTCTAAAAAGTTCAGGGTGTACAGTTGACATCCGAAGGCATATTGCTTGTGAAGAATGCGACATAAAAGTGAGTGGAGGCTACGACCCTGTATTAAATCAAGTTATTGTTTGTCAAAATGTTGCGAAAAAAGAAAGTATAGTTCAAGGGGTACTTACTCATGAATTTATTCATATGTTTGACTATTGCCAGAATAAGTTAGATTTTAAAAATTTAGACCATCTAGCATGCACTGAAATCAGGGCAGCAAATTTGGCACATTGTAGCTTTGTTTCTGCCTTTTTACAAGGAGATGCTTCATTGTTTAATATCAAAGAAGCACACCAAAATTGTGTTAAAACAAAAGCACTAGAGTCTGTTTTAGCAGTTAGAAATGTTAGTAAAAACGATGCAATAGACGCTATAGAACGAGTATTTTCAAAATGTTATAACGATTTAGAGCCCATAGGAAGGCGAATTAGACGAAACTCAGAAGACATATTTAAAGCTTTTAAAGAAGCCCCATATTATGGATATGATACTGATTTATAGCGAACACCAAATATATTTATTAGTTAACTTATTGTTATTATATGCAGATAATTAGTAAATGAATTGTTAAGAATTGATCATTTTTATCATGTTTTCTTAATACATCAATTTTTTACAACAAATAAGTTTTTTTTCTTGGAATGGAAAATTTGGGATTTTTTAAAAAACAAGTCGAAGCACTAAATAAAACGTTACATTTTTAGTTAACAAATGTTAAAAATTAGATTTAGAAATATATCCCAACAAAACTTTGCATATGTAACTCCCATTGTTTAAGTATCAATTAAACTTTTATTTTATTTGTAGAATACTACTGCATTTGTCCAAATGCCTAAATAGTATAAAGCTATGACATAGATGTTTAGATTATGCCACTCTGTAAATATTTCATTATTTAAAGTGGGTAGATATTTTTAAATTAATTTAATTTCTAATCTTATCAATCTCTTTAGTACACAGCGTTAACAAGGAATGATAACTTCATTAATAAGAATTTCAGAACATGACAATATTTGTGTTTAAAGGTAGCCTACTTCTGGGAGATGGTATATCTAAATTGCTCGTATATTTCTAGCTGAGCTTAATATACGAGTTTGTTAAACTATTTTTTCATGATAACACTACAACTTTTCGTAATTAAATAAGAAAAATAAGTAGGTACTTAACTGTTAAAGTGATATTAACAATTTACAAAGTAAAATGCAGAAAAATTAAAAAGAAAATTACTTAAGATTTATTAAGTAAACAAAACAATTATTAACTACAGATATAAATAAATAATATATAACTAAACACAATTGATAGAATAAAAATATATAACATTATATTAAGCAATTTTTTAAAANCTAAAAACAAAACAGATAAATATTTAGAAAAAAAAAACAACTTTATACTATATATTTTCTCATAATACAGAATAAATAATACTATACTAAATAAACTTCATAAAATCAACAAAAAAAAACAGTATAACAATTAATTATTCAATAATTTCCTAAAATGCCAATAAAGATGCAGAATTATGTTTTTAGTAAAATATCTGCAACTTCCTTTAAATTATTAATGTTGGCATGCATGTATGCTTTAGCCTCCCAGCACATTTTACACAATTTTTCATCTGATTTTTCATCCATTCCTACGTCTTCTGACATCTGTGGTGAAAATCGAAAATACGGTACGCCAGTTGTGGAACACCATGCGCGAGCTCTGTCTACAACTCTTCCATCACTTAGCGTAGCCTATATTATAAAGGCAAACAAAGCAGTTCAGATTAATATAATATATTATAATGAATGTTTTTCGAGGAAAAGGTAAGAAAGATCAGGATTGGAGATTATAAAATAAATAATTTGATTATTTTTCTAAGAAATATACAAAAATATAAATAACTACAGATGCGCTGTAAATATCTGTCACTGTAAATATTTGTCACTAAGGATTAATTTATTCATACAAGCAAGAAATGTGCATTTTTTATTTAAAAGCAAATTGACTGAAATGCAGTCACAGGCAAAATCAGTAAATATTGTTACCTGATCTACAAGTAAAGTTCCTAGAGAAGAAATTCCCATCACTAATTTCGTCGTATCCCAAAGGCTTTCTGGACGAAAAACGTCTATATCTTTCAATTGTTTAACGGGGATTAAGCCAGTACCCAAACTAACAACGCAAGTTACGGGCGATACTTCCTTTTCTCTACCTCTTGCTCTTAATGCCAAATTATATTCATGTATTTCCGTCAACGCGTCCAAAGTTGGATTGTTGGCTATCAAACCACCGTCGAGAAAATATCCAAAAGCCCTAAAATATATTATTAAAACCTTTATAATAAACAACTTTTAAACATAATAAGATTAAATAAATGGGGTTCTTACGTTTAGCAACACAATTATATTTCAGAGAAATAGCTATTATAGCCGCCACTTTCTATATTAAATAAATACCTAAAGTAAGTAGGAGCAGCACCTGTTGCTCGTCCAACATGCCATACATGTGTCTCTTCAGGAGGAGGAGGCAATTCAAAAGGTGAATCATCACTTTTTATATTTAGAATTTTGCTTGGACTCTCGTAATTTCTGAACAGGTGTAGTTCCACTGGCTTTCGATTTGCGAGTACACTAGTAATTAAAATTTTGGGATGCTGTATATCAGTAATCATTGTATTTTCTCCAAAACATTCTTTTAATATATTTTCGAGGGCCTCGCTCGCGTAGGGCCTCATTCCAATAAAGGTTTGTTCTTTCATTCGAAAATATAGACACAAGCATTCCCTCATACTTTTTCCAAAACTCAAGGCGAGTGCTAAAATTCCACCTGTGCTGGTACCAGCGATCCAATCGAAGCAGTTGTTAATTGGTTCACCAATAACTTTTTCTAACTCAAGTAACATTTGAATTAAAATGAGACCTCTAATGCCACCACCGTCCAGGCAAAGAAGCCTTCCTTTAAAAAAATATATATATAGAAATATATATATATATATATATATACAGTAAGGACTGAACAATCCTGGATACCGAAAATCAGTCACNTTATATATAATATATATATATGTATATCAATTCCTAATGAATTTGTTACTGTTTTATTAAGCTATGTAAAGTAATTTTGCTAAGATATGTACATGTTTATTATTTATTGTTATTAGGTATATAATGTAGTAACAATATACAAAGTATATGCTAAATATGCACCTATATGCAGTATTCAGATTAAAACCATCTGCATATTTTCGACAATTTAAATGAAAATAATACAATAAAAAAAACGATTTTTCACGCAAAACGTTTGGAAAGCTAAAATGCATTTCATCCTCATTTAGAAATGTAGAATACCTTGGATATCAAAACGCGTTTTAGATTTCAAACGCTTTAGATGAAATTTCAGGTTTTTGTTGTACGATATTTAGTTTAGTTCCAGAGAGCTCCATTTGATTTTCTTGAATGAAAATATGTAACTTATTCTTAATTTAAAATTACACTGGTTTTGCTATCTATCATGCTATTTATTTCTAAACATGAGATATTCATTAGTATCATAAAACATCTGAAGACTTTACGTGTTACAACAAAGCCAGAATACTGAATTTCACAACATCAATAATATATAATTGAATAGTGAGTGATAATAATCAACTCAACCTACTTGACCAATTTTAGGAAATATGCAGTTTACATTTTCATTTTTAATATATGTAGGTTAATACTGAATAATAGTGATTAGGATTTACCAACCTTTGTTTTTCCTATCGTTCTTTTTGGAGGCATGTTCCATTCCAGCAACTTCAAGGATATGATTTAATGTTTCTCTGTTTGCCGGACCAATCACAGGTTCGGGGGGAATGCCATCATAATTTCCATTAAAAATACATCCTTCAGTGCAATCAGATATGCCTTTCGGACATCTTTTAGCGCCCACCGCATGTAAGTAGTAAAGTAACTTTGGCTCTTGGTCTCTAGTCATCATATGCCTTGGAGACATTCCTTTGTTATTTAATGCATCTAAATTAGCCCCAAAAACTATTAAGCATTGCAAAAGGGGTAAATGCTCCATCTTTACTGCCCAATGTAATGGAGTATTTCCATCAACATCCCCAATATCTGGTTTAGCTCCCCTACTTAATAAAGCCACCGCACAATCTAGACGCTTCTTTACTACCATAACATGCAGAGCTGTACGTCCTTCGAAATTTACTTGATCTATATCACAATTCATATCAACCAAAGTGTCAACAACTGCTCTAGAACATGCCCAGTGAAGTGGTGTGCCACCAAATTTCATATCCTGCTGAGACAACGTGTTTGCATTATCCTTCAAAAATTTTCCAACATATCCAGGTGTTGAGCTAGTTACATCACCTGATTCTGGCCCATTTAATGCTTTCAAGTTCACATCAGCTCCTGCTAAAAGCAAAGCTTTCACACACTCAGGTTTATCTGCAAGACAAGCCATGTGAAGAGGGGTGTAACCGTCTTTATTGCGGGAATTGAGACAAAGAGAGGGAGTATTTTCTTGTGCGAGAGCCTAGTAAAGGAAAAGCATGTTAATCCACAACGATTAAATAAGTCGTAGTATATTGCTAACTATTCAAGATTTAAAATGGTTAAAATGGAACAAAAAAGTAACGTTAGGAGAAATCTTTTTTGTCTAGATATTTCAGAATATGTAAGGCAGGGTGCTTCGTTTTTAACGCCGTTGTAAAATTTTATTGCACATCTTGAAAAAAGTTTCCTGAAATTTTTAGCCCTTAACTCAAAAATATTATCATTAGCTATCACTATGCGTGAATGTTTCATGATTTTTACCACTAGCCAGTAGAAATGGACTGGTAGTAAAAATGAAAATAATAATTTTACAAGAAATTATCGTGATAAAGAAGGCTAGAAATGAGAAGATATCAGAGAAAGTAGAAGTGCAGAGAAGTCAATAAGGAAAAGGAGAGGTAGGAGGGTAAGATATCTTCAGAGACTAGTTAAAGATATACAAAAAGTAATAGGGGAACCCCTAGATTAAATTATTCTTCACAAACAGTTTAAGGTGTGGTATATTGTAGTTTTCAGAAAAAGCAAACCAGTGATGATGATGAATGCTAGGATGAAAGATAACTCTTTCAGAATAACGTAATAGCTCAAATAATTGTCAGTATTTATAATAATAGAACAAGGTGTCCTTCATTCTTTTCGGTGTTCTATTCTAAATTAAAGGGTAAGGAAAGTGCTTTTCTTCTACTTCAATAAATGCCCGAACATTTTTAATTATATAAAATATACAGCAGGAAAGAAGGGAAATAATGTCAAAACATAAATTTGTTTATTTAGCAACGTCTCGACTTTTTTATTCAGTATTCGTTAGACAAATTCATTCTACACCACTGATTGAGATACCTAATGAAAATTTAATAAAAAAGTCAAAACATTACTGAATCAACAAATTAGTGTTTTATATTATCTATTTTCCTGCTCCATAGTTCATATTCCATACATTGAATTATTATTATATTATATTTGTGGTAGAAATATCATTAATCTGGTACTTATAAACATAAATTCGATAGGAGAAAAATAAATATGTTAACTTACACCAATAATATCTTTGGTAGTACTGGCAGCATAATGAAATACTGAATTTTCTACACGATCTAGATGATTAAGAGAGCAGTGTAAATTTACTAAAGATTGCACTGTTTTAGCATTAGCTGTACGAATGGCCACTTGTAATGGGGATATTCCTGTCATTGGATCTGAGTCATTTAAATGATCTTTAATTTTAGGATCACTAAATGAATCAGACAAAGAAAAAAATGCTGCTAAATGTGCCAAAGACCAAGAAGGGTTTTCCTGTATCGTATCACATAACTTCTGTAAACTTTGTGTATTAAATATCTAAAATATGTTGTATTAGAAATAATATCCACTGGAAACCTTTTAAATCTTTACCGATGGTGCAATATCTACCAACACTGGAAGCCTTTCTTTCAAGTTAATGAATCGCAATGTGGCTTCTTCTTCACTGTCACTTCGAAATATACTGAAATCAAAAAATTCTCTAGCAAACTGTCATCCATCTCTTAAAGTTATCGTATTACCTAAAAGCTGAACTGCTGTATGGTTTATGCAAAATGATTTCATAACTTGATTTTTCTTTGCTCCCAGACTGTGGTTTATATAAAACTAGTCCATCTTCCCTTGTACTTATATTTCTACTGCTATACGAATCAGCTTTTACTTCCTGAACTTTTGTAGGAGGAGGTTCAGTACCAAGGAAGTTTCTGAATACTACAGTAATTATTGTATGCATTTAAGTATTAATTAAAAAATTGTTAGAAAAGTTTTAATTACCATTGAACATTGGAAATCTATTGGAATTCTTTCCAACAGGATATAGCAACTGTTTCTGATATACAACTCAACTGGCAATAAAGCACTTCTAATTAAAACGTACTTTATACAATAAAAATATTGTGACACTAATTATTCTTAATATTCTTTTGTCGTAACTGGAAATTGTCGCAAGATAAACTTCAAACTTCAAATTAATGATCAATAAGTTCTGCGGTGTTGCAATTTTGAAAATTTTTACTATTAAAGGAACAATAATAACAAATCCAAAATTATTAATCAAATTAATACGATTACGTAACTGTTATTATATTTGCTGAATAACGTAATATCATATAATGTTTTCATGTAAACATCTACATCTGCAATATGAATTAATCATCATCGTCAATGGTCATGATGATAAAATCTAATGTCCAATGTCCATTGTCCATAGATATTAAGCAATCATGCAATGAAAATATATCATAATCTGTTGACTAATAATATGCTAATATGGTTAGTTAGTAACTATTTATAATTAGGGCAACATAAATTAGGCCGTGAATACTGAAGTAGAATAAGGAAAAGTAATAAAACCAACAGAAAAGGGATTCCCCTATTTCAACGTTAATAAAAATAATACATATAGTCAGAAAACGTGTATTATTTCGACTGAAAAATCCTAAAATATTTACAACTAAGTGTAACGGACTCTAATCTAATCTTAATCTCAACCTAGCTTACACTACCGTAAGAACCTAACCGAACTTAGCCTAATGTTGGTGCACCATAGTGGTATAGAACTCAAACATTTTTTATCTACTGGATAAATGGACGCGGAAACATTCTTTAGGAATTGCTTGCTTCAGGCATCTTTAGGGGGTCACACCTCCAATTCTTCTTTGATTGAAGTAGTATAGAATCCAAATTTTATTTAGGATTTTAGGATATAAATAGTTATTCATAGGTACGGGAGAGCAGGGGCGCAACAACGTTACAGTTTCACTGGGTGCTCCCATCATAATACTATAAATGACTAATAAAAAAGTCACCAATGTGCCTGGGCACCCGTGCACCCCCCCGCTTGTTGCGCCCCTGCGGGAGACCCTTTTTATATAAAATTGATAAAAAATACATAAACGACCGCGATAGCAATGGTTCCTATGGCAAGGATTTCATTTGATTAAATTTTAATCATATAATTAGACAGAATCGGGGCAACCTAAACTCCTTTTATGAAATGCAATATTATAATGTCGAAAAGAGAAGGCATAAGTTAACTATAACGAAAGGAAAGGCACGGCAACAACAACATTCATATTGTGCGTGTCCTCTTTTTCTTACTATTCACCGAAAAATATTTTTATTTGATTGCTTATGATCATAATGGTTAAAGTAAGAAAAAGCAACACAAACGAAGTGTGTTGTCATGGTCACATACTTGCTTTTGTTTGCAGGAGTGTAGATCTAAACTATTTAACATAATTTCCAAATAAATTTAGATATTTGGCAACTGTTAATTGGGGTATGTGCAGAAGAGGGCTTGCGTTTGGGGGTTTAGCCGCTCAAAGTCCTCTCGTTACACACGTCCAACTGGACTTCTTTTTCTAGCCGATTCAATGATTTTTTATTCTTTATTTTTTATTTATAACCTAACCTGGTCATAGGATATAATCTATGCTCCAAATATCCGTATGGGTTTCCCTGATTGTAAAAAAATAGAAGGAATGTATAGTGGCAGAGAACGTCTCAACCATGTCTCGTAGAATAGAGGAATGCTTGGCGTACGAGAAGTTTATCAATAAAAACACCTAAAAGTTTGCTAACAAAGCAAATAACACTAAATTTGATATTACCTACGACAATTTGACGAATTCGGTTCTTTTTTTTAGTTTTCTCATGTCAATAACAATTACTGTCCTGCAATATTCGTTTCAGGTCATTTGACTGGGATAATGCTGAGACGGCTCCAGTGGATTTATCTTTGATAACGTTTCTATTTGTTTGTGGTCGCTCTTCCATCGTTTATATTTCTTTGAGCCTCCCTGTTATTGCCATCCCTCTTCCATAGCGCCCTTTTTGCTAAATGCATAGAAAGTGACCCTTATTATCTAAGTATAGTGCAGGTAGAAAAAGAATTTTCTTTGTGTGTGAGGCTATTTATATCTTTACTTAATTTATTAATTTCATGAAGACTTTCGCTTATTTGGTTTTCTACTTTTATTATACTTTAATAAACTACAAATTAAAGTTTATTTTTCCATTTTACATTTTCTTTATTCTTACTACAATTTGACGTGCTAAACTAATAAATTAAATCGCTACATAAAATTCATAAACTAAAATAAGAAGAATTAAGATCCAGAAGCTTCGATGAGAGATTAATTTAGAAGGATTCAATGGGCAGATTTCGAGATATAGATAAAATGCATGCAAAAATTGCAAAATTGGAAGACGGCTCGACCACCGTCATAATATAAAGGAAGACTATAGTAGGCATTTTAAATAGGGGTTGAAATTAGCTGTGAATATTTTGCAAATTAGCCGTGAAAGCCAAAAATATGCCGTGACCCGGAAAACCGGAAAACCAATTCGCATGCTAACTTCAAATTAGGTGAAATCTGTTGGAAAAATTATCTACAGCTGGAATCAGGCTCTTAATTAATCGCTGACGATGTAGACTACTAACCAGTGGATTTGAATTTTTTTAAAATGGCGTCATTTTTCGGTCCAAACTGCTCAACAACTGTCATTGTATTGAGTGAGATTGCAGTAGGCATTCTAAATCGAGGATGAAATTTACCGTGACTATTCCGCAGATTAGCCGTGAAAGCCAATAATAATAATGGAAAATCAGTTCGCATGTCAACTTCAAATCAGGTAAATCGGGGAAAATCCTGGAATCAGGTTCTTAATTGGCCGCTTATTAACCGCTGACGATGTGGACGACTAACCAGGGGATTTGAATTATTTTTTCAAAATGGCGTAATGTTTTGGTCTAATATAAAAGGCACTCTAAATCGAGCTCGGGAATCCGACACTATCCAGTCGTACGGGTGGCTGGGTGTTTTTTGAAGATTTCCCATCTTCCACGAAAAAAAAAATGTAAACCTTGATCCGGGAAACGCAAAAACCAGTTTTCAACAACTTTCAAAGCAGTTATATAGACTTCCTACCAACCAGGGAGTTCGAATGTTTTTTTTAGATAGTGTCATTTTTCGATCTTGACTGGTCTGACAATCCTGTAATATCGAGTGAGATGGTAGTAGCCGGATTTACTGGATTACAACAACTTACTTTTTGACTTACACGGCTAGTTTGCGGATAACTATCCTAACTTTAAAGGGATTGTGCGGTGGGCGAGAATTCTACTGTTGCATTAATTAATTTCATTATTTTAGAAGACGTGGTTACGTATCGGAACTTCAATGACAGAACGCAACTTGCTTACTTTTTTTATCAATTTGTATCTTTGTAATTATAAATGCGAGTGTGAATTTGTTTGTTCTTTGTCGGCTTTTCACGCTTCAACTACTCAACCGATTATCAGGAAATTTTGTATACATATTGAGAGGGGTATAGAAAAGCATATAGGGTACTTTTTATCCAGAAGAAAAATACTGTTCCTAAGAGATGGACAAATTATTTCAATGAAGTCGATTTAACACCTTAACTACTCAATCGATCATCATGAAATTTTGTAGACACATTGTCAGGGGTACACAAAAAAATATATAGGATACATTTTATTCAGAAAAAACAATGTTTTCGAGGGATAGAAGAAACTTAGTTTTATGTGGTCGATTTCACGCCTTAATTGATTCGATTATCATGAAATGTTGTAGACATATTGTCAGGGATACAGAAAAGGTAAAAAAAACTGTTCCCGCGGGATAGAAAAATTAGTTTTATAATGTCATCTTTTGACACGTATTTAGGACATCAACGCGGACCAAGCTGTGGGTAAAATCTAGTACTAAATAATTATTATAGCATTGTATTAATAATTTAAATTATTAAACAATGCCAATAATTAAAAATATTGACTAGAAGACATACCTAATGTAAACGTTTGGAATGATTATGTAATAATAGGTCAATAATTGGAAATACTGCCTACAAAACGGAAACTCGTACAAACTACCCCTGACTGGGTAGATTACATTTTTGAAACTCTCTTTCCAATCGAGAATTAAGAGCTACTGGCAATTTTTCCATTTTCGCATCATTTCTGGCTAGAATTCTCCGGTTGAATATTTCACACCCATGGAATCTTTTCTTTATTCTAGGACTCGGTGGTGGTGGTTACCACTGCGTGACTCACGGAATATTCTGTTTTGGGTCGAAAAATTGCCAACACCCTAGAGCAGGGATGGCGAACCTTTACGTGTCGACGTGCCATTTTTATAAAGAAAAGTTCAATCAGGTCAAAGACGTGCCATCAAATAATTTTGTCTCTGTGATTATTGGGAAAATAATAATAATATCAACTTAAACTTTTTTATTTACTACAAAAAAATAGGAACATTTTGCAATGTTTAAATTATACGTGTAATTTAAATTAAAGTAAAATTAGTGTTACTTTTGTTGTTGCAGATTAGATGACAAATAACTTATGTTAGGGTTGTAAGATGTTACTTTTAGCAGAATGCATGCTGAACTGGAGTTATCTGTCAAACGATTTCTAACCGAGTTTTTAATGTTATTCATCTCTGAAAATAATGACTCGCAGGCATAGGTTGAGGAAAAAACATTGTTAAAATAGCATAAGCCAGCTTCTTCAAACAATTAAAAGTGTTTGGTAACGCATTTCATGTTTCCAAAATTTTGTTATTAGCATTTTCACTTGTATTACCTG